TAATCAACCATAAGGTGAAAAGGCATTAGAGAGAGAGAGGATTGAAAATAAAAAATAAAAAGAGTGAAGATAAGAATAAAAATAAAAAAGTAAGTAAATGAAAGAAATATATATATATATATAAAGTAAAATAAAATAAAACAAAATAAAAAATAAAAACCAAGTCAAATCCAATGAAGTTTCAGTCTTAATAATTTTGGTGTCGGTCTCAGTCTCCAATCCTGGAGATGGTGCCTCAGATGTTGTTCTGTAGTTGTCTCATCAAAGAGCAGACATAAAGTAGAACAAAACACACACACACAAAAAAAAAAAAAGCCCACCAAGTGTCCCAAGTTCAAATGCAATACTTTAAGTTTTTCAGCAAGCAGGTGTAGTTTGGTTGTTTTCTCATCCCAGGTAGGGAGAGAGAAAAAAAAAAGTCTGGAGACAGTTCTGTGAAAGGCTATCTGCAGCCGTAGCTTGCTGCCCGCTGCTGTCAGCCTGCTGTTGCTGGAGGCTTTATTTATGCAGATCTCAGGTGTGAGTTTAGCACTCATCTGGTCCTGCAGGAGTTCTCCTGTGCGCAAGCCGCTGCTACAAGCTTTCCCTTTTCCAAGCACACTGGAGGAGGTGACACTGCACCTGCTTTCTCAGGCCGGTGTGTTTACTTACAGCTCACATGGGAAGTGTGTCTTCCCCCCTCTCCTGTGGAGTTTTCCTCCCTCCACTCTCACAAGCTTTCCCACTCCTGGTTGCTGGGCGCCCGCCCCTGCTCTTGCCGGAGCCTCTCCAGCCAGGCCCGGCTTGTTTATTTATGGTTCCAGGAAGGATTCCCCTCCCCTCCTCTTCCGAGCTCAGGGCGCCCCACCCTCTTTGCCATGTGTCTTTATTGTTCTTATTTCTTATTACTCAGTTTCTCTTTTTTCCCTGGGTGGGGGTTGGTCTGTCCAGGGGCTATGCTGATCTAGCCCAGGGTTGTCTGTGGGAGTACCGCATACAGCTTAGCTCACCTTGCCCGTCTTCCCAAGCTGTCTGGGTGTGGGCAACTGGCAGCCCAGGGGCCCTCCTGGTTTCTCCTTTTAACGTGAAGTGGAGATTCTCTGCGCAGGCTAGAGGTGTGGAGGAGTCAAAGTTTTGCCTCTTCTTGGTGACCTTGACTGCAAGGTGTGTCTCCAGCGTCTCTCCAAAATTTCACTATAGGAGGCTCGCTTTCTGCTTCCTCCGTCTAGCCGCCATCTTGGAATTCCCATAATTTCCTAGTTATTATTCACCCATAAATTTCATCTTAGATTTTTCTGTGAGCAGTTAAAATTAACCAGTATGTAGTTTTAGAAAAAAAATCAAATTGTCTCCTTATAGAGATGTTAATTTGCTTTTGTTTACTAACAATACCAACTACATTTCTGGCCCCACTGTATGTGGCTTTGACATTGTTTCTTGAAGCTCAAATCTGGTTTTGAGATTTTTCAGTTTGTATATCCCCTGCTAATTTTTATGGAGAGCAAAGTGTGAGTCCTTGAATTCCTGAAACTGTCTTTAGTTTTGCCTTCTGGTTGGAGTAACTTTCAAGTTCTGACATATTTATTATTTTTCTGACTACTTGCATCTAAAGCTGCTTGGGTGAGTTGATGTCAGATTCTGCCTACTTAGCCGTCACTCCATGTTTTAGAACCATGTAAGAATGTTCTTCCTACCTCATCTAACATGTCATGAAGATACCATGTGTCTAGAAGTGTGTGCATGTTTGTTTCTAACTTGGTACCCATTCAGTGTGAGAACCTCTGTTAGGCTTCAACTCTAGACAATTTCTTGAGTACCGTTTCCCTTCATTCTGGTCCACACTTTCCCTCCGAGGGAAGATTCACATGGGAACATGAAGACTTCTCTTTAATGTCTCATTTCCCTTCTGTTTCTTAGATCATTTGCATTATGTTCCATTTAAATCTAAAGAGCTTACAGATTTGCTCTTTAAGTGACTCCTTCCTACTCTTCAGCCCATCTGTGAACTTGACAATTGTTTTACATTAATTCTATTATTATTTAGGAGATGTGGATCTGAATAAGTGATGGAAGGTCTTATCTAGTATTTATGAAATCTTGGTTCAATCCCCACCATAAAAAAAAAAAGATAAAAATTTGGTTCTTTCACCTGTCATACATTTAAAAAATTCAGTATCCTAACTTACCCCCCAGCAGGTGTCATTATGAATATTGATGCTTTTGTCTGGTGACTCTCTTCATCATGTTTCAGTGATTTTTCACTGGTGTGTAAGTCTAGAAACTATGCTTCTTGCTCACTGAAAACTGAGGGTGGGCAAAGGAGTACAACTGGGCAGACCACACTAGCTCAATAGGATCTTCTTAATCTTAAGTGTCCACATCCATTGCTCCTCCCTTGAACCCAATGTCCCTCCTGCATACTGCTTGGCATAAAAAAGGAAGCTGACCTAACCGAGTTCTTATAATGTGACGTCTCAACCATTATTTAGAACTTTCATGATCCTTCATCCTGTCTTCACTTTTGGGACTGCTCTCAAGCCAAACCCACTTTTCACGCTAAAACTCCTAAGCTGTGTGCCAGTGGCTCACACCTATAATCCTACTCACTCAGGAGATTAGGAGGATCGTGGTTTGAAGCCAACCCAAGGAAATAGTTCACAAGACCCTACCCCAAAAAACTCATCACTAAAAAAGGGCTGGCAGAGTGGCTCAAGCAGTGAGCCTGCCTAACAAGCATGAGGCCCTGAGTTCACACGCCAATGTTGCCAAAAAAAAGAAAAAGAAAAAAAACTTCTCTTATCCTATCTGCCGTTGGCCTTCAAAGGATTACTCAAAATTTATTGATACAAGTATGGAGTGGTGGCCCATGCCAGTAAAAATCCCAGCCCTTGCGAGGCTGAAGCAGAAGGATCACAAGTTCAAAGCCATCCTGGGCTGCACAAAATCCTGTCTCAAAAAAAAAAAAAAATTATTGACCCAGCACACTACCTTCTTGCTTTCCAAAATTACTGAGATTAAAGAATACTTTTACCTATAATAATATTAAGTACTAATAATTTTTGTCCTTTCTAGGTATGTGGGAACTGGAAGCATGCTACCTTAAGCAATCTACTTTGTGATAGTAAGTCTGTGAATGATTCATGTTGTTCTCAGTAGAATGAATGTTCCTTTGAGGGAGGCTGTGAGGAGAGGATAGCACAAATGTAAGACATATTTAGTATCTGTGTTGGACAGGCATTACTTTTCAAGAGTACTGAAGATGAGACTTATAATCATCTATCCTAAAATCCATGTTCCCAGCCCATACCTTGAAAGAAGTTTGATTACACTTAAGGAAGGTCAACTTAGGAAAAAATAGGTTTAATTTCATGCAAAGTAAGTTTTATTTGAATTGGGTAATATACGAGTTTTTCAAATTTTATCCTGAAATTAGATTGAGGGCTGACGGAGAAACTAGATAGGTCATACACATGTAGTCTGATGGGAAATCATCACTGCTTCTAGCTGTTATATTTGAAAAGAAAATTTTAACAGAAGGAAGATCCTTTCCTCAGTTGCTTTCCATTAACAATCCTAAAAAAAAAAAAGTTCAGGGTTATTTTGATAATTCTCTTACAAAAATGTTTAGGTGTTTTTCTCTATCATAAGCTTTCTTAGCTTAAGTATGTTATGGAAGATCAAACATTTTAATCTTGAAAAATTGTGTCATGAAGGTCAGACTACATAGTCCTAAAAACACAGCATTCCTTTAAACTAAGTGACTATCTATCCTGTGGACTTGTAAATTCTGTAAAGGTAAAAAATTCACAGGTAAATCTGTAAAATGGCCAAACTTTCATGGAAGCTTTTATTAGATACAAGGAAATATACGAAGACTCGAGTTGCTGCCGAGCTAATCTAGATTCTCTCCCTCCCCCTTTATTTAGAGGCACCTTGTTCCTCTGTCATCATCAATCATGTGTGTTCATCAATGCGCTTAATGAATCAAAAATATTTTAAATTTTATGACTTTTCCATAGGGAATCTATTCACTAAACATTACAAGAATATATTAATAAAATGCAGCATAATGTAGATTTGACTTGTCATCAATGCAAACATTTCCCATCTTAATGGCTTCCTTCAGAAATAAAAAGCCAGTAACTTAAGGTACACACCACTTGTTCCATACTCAGAAATACAGGGGTTTTTTTAATGTGCGAAAAGCATAGTTGTATATATTTCTTTCTATGAGAATTCCACTAACTCTGAATTTTCATAAGATAAGCCACACAACTTTAAACAGCACTATTTTGTTATCGATCCTCTGTGTGTTACTTCCAACAATTCACATATTCACAAAGATTTGGAATGCTAAAAAATGCTAATAGATAAAAATACTATATAGCTGCTAATGGGAATCCTTTTTTAAGTATAGCAAATTAGTAATTAAAGGTTTAGTTCTCTTTGTATTCAAAAGAAATTTTCAAGTATATGTACATCTCCAAGTCTAGTCCAAAGAGATCAGGAAAATATAAAGTAAGTATGTAGGGAATTTTAGACTTTACTGATTCTGATGAATTGATGATTCCTTAATTAATCAGCATAAAACTTTGTGGCAGTAATGCTATACTGAATAAATCATTCTTAATAAAATAATTTTTATTGAAATAAAATTTACCATTTGGGGTAGGAAAATTTAAACACTGGTTTCAAAAATTTGCTACATAATACTTGCTAAAAGCCAGTTCTGAGCACAGGCTTTCACTGTACTTTACTGAACAGAATATAAAATAAAAATGTCTTCTTCATTTCCTTAAAAGATTTATTTTGGGCATTACTAGGGCTTGAACTCAGGGCCTCACGTTTGCTGGGCCACTTGTTCTACCACTTGAGACACTCTGCCAGCCCTTTTTGTGTTGGGTTTTTTTGAGATAGGGTCTAGTGAACTATTTGCCTGTGCTGACTTCCAATCTCTGTCTTCCTGCTCTCTGCCTCCTGAGTAGCTAGGATTACAGGCTTGAGCCACTTGGCACCCAACTAAATGATTAAATTATCACTCTATTCAAATTTTGAAACTTTAGTACTACTATCACAAAAATTCTGATGAGTCCTTATCATTCAATTTTAATTTTCAAATATTCTGGAGGAAAACTTAGCCTATTAGTTTATATAGAAACTTGTTTTTTTAATGTTATATTATATAAACCTTCTTACTCAACTTTGTATGTTTCAAGATCATTACAAAATTTAAAATTAGACTGAAGTAAAATGACAGTGCATACATAATGTGTTACACTTAAAGCATTTCAATATAATATGTAGACAGTGAAATTAAAGACCACTGAAGAAGCCCAATTTTGTGGACCTTGATTCCTTTTCCAAAATTATAACCTACATATCTTAGTCATGGTAAAGTAGTTGAAAATTCCGCACATGAAATCTGCAATTATGAATTCTTAATGAAAAGTATAATGTTACTGTGAAAATCTGCAATCAATAAAAGGACAATGTGACTATTTTACAATGCCAAAGTTAATGAAGGGAACACAGAGACTTGTCTTAAAGAAGCTATTTGTCATTGTTTGTTTAGAGATTACAATACACATACAAGTGAATTTTATCAAAATACAGCACATTTTTCTACTATATTCATAAAAATCAATTCCTATGTAAATAGTACTGAAAATCAACTAAAATGAGTTAAAATTTACAAAGAGTTGTTAAAGGGTTTCAATCAAAATTATTAAAACTATACAGTACAATAACTCATTGATAATATCTTGAAAGAAGTGCAATATTTGAGTTCACATAGTTTTAAAAGTGCTGCCTATTTGACTATAAAGAATGGAAAGTGAGTCCAACTCATTTTTGCAAAAATAATGCATGTTGGTATTTTAGCTAGTCCTATAAGTCTTAATTAAATCAAGGTTGAAGAAAAAAGCAAAACACATTAAAAATTCTCATTACATTTCTTAGAAATTAAAAATGAATGCAAGAACTGCATATATTGCTTTAATAAAAGTTTTCAGACTAGCCTCAACTAAAAACAGTTATTGGTCTTCTATGGCACATTTTTCTGGTCCAAATAACCATGCATTAATTCTTACCATTGCATGTTACTCAAATTTTATTTGATTACATAGAACAAAAATAAAATTAATGGTTTGGATAAACAATATTAATAAGTCTCTATTATCCAATATTTGTTACAGTAACTAAGAACAAAGGCAGTTGGTGGTAAAACACTATTACAACTTAGAAACCCTTTAAAGACTCTATCGAGTTCACATTTAATGTTACCTGTAGGACAGCCCTTTATTTGAACATGTTCACACACTGGTAGGCCTCAGGACCCATCCCTCTGCTCTACAACTTTCCACAGCAATTCTCTATCACTGGGCCAGTTTCACAAACTTGCTTTGGTTTGCTAGCTCCATACGTAAACCCATGTCTCCTTTTACTTTCCCAAGGCAATGCAAGGCCAAACAAAACTTGAGGCTTTCCTAAACCTTCGTACATTTTGTTACAGGCAACACAACCTTAAAACTGGCCATTTCTGTTTCCTTTGCTGCTTAAAACAAAAAATTATAAATTAGATACTGATTATAAAACAGATTGCAAGTACCACCATTTGCCAAAAAAAATCAGGGAATTTCCATAGCACAGAAAATGCATGGACATGCATCTACAATAGAGTTAAAAATTTCCTGTAACTAAAAAATTAAAAATTGAATCACCAGTAGCAAATGTATACTCAATGGCTATGACAAGTACAGATCTTGTAGAGCTCATAAAATGCAATTATTGTCTTTTTATCTCTTTAAAAAGACGTTACATATTTTATTGCATTATTTATTCATAAAAACATATTAACATATTAACTTTTTTCATTCTTTGCTTCCAGATTTTTATAGGATATAACTGTTTTAATCTGGCCTTGGAAAGTGAACCTACCAGCACCACCTTCACCTACTCATTCTTCAATTCAATATACACATAGCAAAAGCCAACACTTCAAATCTCTTGCCCACATCAAAAAAAAGTACTTTCAGCAGAAAAACATTAATACCAGTTGAATAAAAATAAGGGCATAAAAGCTATGAGATAGACAGCTCTGCCATCTGTCTCTGGCTACAATCAAGGCTAACTATTGCCTTGCATACAGTTCAGTCATGTGTATGAAATTCAAAAATAAACTTACAATCTATACAAAAACAATGTATGTTTGTTTTTGTAGCCTTGATTGCTATATTTAAAAACCTAACAAATTTTACATGGTATGAATTCAACAGTCTCCTTTATATTCTGTACAGTGGTTCTTTCCCTCTAAGCACAAGTTTCATTATTTCATTAATGTACAAATTTGAACATAACTGAGTTCTTTATATATAAAAATAGTCAAAATATTAATTTCCCCTGCAAGTCTCTTCAAATCTTGCTGTCCTTTCCCCCCTTTTTTTCCACAGTGCTTATGAGGAAACTTCTCGTACAATGATGAGTTCTACTGCATTCTGGAAAGTTTTTAGCAAGGACACTGCTTGTCCATGTTCAATATTGATAAAACTGTAGCCATTAGCCTAGAAGAAAGAGAAAAAAATCCTTGTAGGAAGAACTTTTCATGGTAATTTATTTGCATTTATCAATATAAATTTTTGCTAGTTTAATAAAGATAAAAGAACCACTTCAGTAATTTAAAACAACAATAGAGTAATGGTCCCTATTTCATACCTAGAAAATGAAATCTCTGAGGATGAAGCCTAGGAACTTGTATTTTGTCCGTGTTTTCACACAATTCTGACATACCAGCCCAATCAATGTTATGAAGCTCTCATCTAAGAGAGTATTAAGACAGGGTGTGTGTGTACGTGTGTGTCGATGTGTACCTAGTGTGTACTGTGTGTGTGTCTGACATGTACCTAGGGTGTTTGTGTGTGTGTTGATGATGTGCACCTAGGTGACCAAACTGCAAGGATAACAGGGGGAAGCCATCAGATCAAGGTTAACATTATAATTATAATTAATTATTATAATTAAGGTTATTATAATTAAGGTTAACATTTAATTAAGTCTTATTCTGCACCAGATACACAGTTCCAAGTGCTTCAGATGAATTAAATTCTTCAATTCTCACAACACTCAAAGATTTGGTCATCTTATTTAAGAAAAGAGAAAACTCAGATGTGGACAGGTTAAATAAACCACCTCAGTCACAAAACTGAAACCACAGATTCTCAAATGGTTCAGAAAAATGTGTGTGCATGCATGTGTGTAGAGGGAGGGAGAAAGGAAAAAAGAAAAAGGAAGAATATGAACATTAATGTGGAAAAGTATTAACAACTGGTGACCAAATGAAGTTTGTTACACTGTTTTTGCAGATATTCTTTGAGCTTGGAATTATTTAAAAATTTAAAAGTTAAAAATGTATGTTTTAATGTATTTTTTCTAAAAAATATGGAATGTTTCACGTGTGCCATCCTTGTACAGAAGCCCACTTTAATCTTCTCTGTATCATTCCCATTTTAGTACTAAATTATGTTTTTAAAAAGTGTTGGAACCAGGATTCAAACTCAAGTGGTCTGGGTCCATAATGTGCTTTCAACTACTAAACTCCAATAACTACCAGCTTTTGGTTTGAGAGTTACTTCTCACTGTGATGTGAACTAACAGTGAGGTATGAAGGACTGCTACATTTGTGTCAAAGGCTTGACTTTTTCCTAGGAAAGTACTACACTGCATGTGTTTAGGTAAAATGAGTTGCTGAAGGAATAGAGAAAAGGAGGGGACATGGGAAAATGAAAAGCGTTTCTCAGATTTTGAAATTTTCCTCTCAATTTTGACAGCCAACTTCCAAGAAGTAGTACTCAGATCCTCTAAATTTATAAAAATTAACATCCTTGAACTGATACAAAATGTTATATCAAACATATAAGCATGATTTTCAAGATATAAAGTGAAAAATTTTAAGCTATAAAAACAGTGTTGAAAGTGAAAGAAAACAGTGAGATTTTATCTTAATTACCTGAATAATTTTATCACCTGGCTGCAGTAATTTTGATGCTGGTCCCTCAGGTTGTACCCTTGTTACAAATATACCCTTTAATAATAATAAAAAGATAAGTATTTAACAAAAACATTATGCACAAAAAACAGAGTAGCGATGAGCAATTTTTCTTTCACACCATGCAGAAATTTGAATCATGGTACAAGTTGTCTCCCTGATTTCTCTGGGAAATATTATGTATTATTCAGAGTAATTTTTGTCTCTAGTAATTCTGTGAGTCTAGGGATTTGGGTTAAAGTGATATTACTTCTATACATTTGTAGAAAAGCAGTAAGAATATTAAAAATTGCAATTAAATTTTTGGTTAAACTGTTTTCCTCAATTAACTAGAACTGATCCAAATTTCAAAACAAAAAACTAAACAATACAAAAGGAACTAGATTTACCTAAGTATCTACTAGATTTTTCAATTACATATAAGAAGTGTTGAAATAATGAAACCTTATGATTGTTCAAGAACATATAAACAAAACTTACATCATCATCAGGTCTGAATGGGTTTCCTCTACCCCCGACACCTCCTGATATGCTAAATCCAAGTTCTGGATCCTTTTCTACCCTTATTCGAATCTGATTTAATATGAAAATAAAGGAAACGTTACTATTTCAGAAAAACTTACAACATAAGAACATCCATATTTAAACACTGGTGAATTAACTAAGTTCAAGCAAAGAACATGTAAGGACTGATCAAAAATCAACATGTGGGCAGGTAAAGTGAAACAACAGAGAACATCATGTTAATGAGTTAGTGAGTTAAAGGCAAAGTGAGATTACAAAGCATAGCTCCTAACTTTATTCCTTGTTTTATGGAGATAAGGAATCAACTAATGTTGACCCTATTTTATGTTTTAGGTATCATGAGTTTTGATATAGTGTTTGCACACAGACATGTATATTCTTATCTGTTTTCATTTGCGGAACATTCAAATTACACAGTATCTCTGCCTACTGGCTTTTTTCTAAGATAAAAGAATGCTTCAAAGGAGTTGGGATTTTAAAATCTGAAAAATTGACAGTCGCTTTTATAAGACTGCAAAAACTAAAATTTTGTTAAAGAATACTCCGTTTTACCAAACCAAAATGAATAGTGTTTGATCGCTATTAATAAATTATCAAGATACATGAGTGAATGGCCCATAACTTTTTAAGATTAAATACTCAAAAGTAATTTGGAAACTACAGTCAAATTTCAATCTGAGAATTAAAACTCGTGAGAATTATATGCCATTTCAGTTTAATGGTCTAATTATTTACATTCCTGAAAAAGGTCTAATTACTGAAACATCATCAATGTTTTGGAAAAGCAACTGCCTTAGAATAAAAAAGAAAAAAAAAAAAAAACCTATGTCCCAAATACTAAATTCTGTGTGATATGATCATAAAGTTAAGCTAAAAACTACAAAGTTTAACACTGAATAAATTGAACAGAAAACTAAAACTTTAAACAAAATGGTAAAATCTATGTTAAAATTCTATATGGATTTATTGCTAATAATTAAAAAACCTGGAAGAACACAAGAAAAGCTCAGTCTCATATTTCAAACAGTTGTTCTTACCTCTTGCTTTGCCAGTTCATGGCCTTGTCTAGGAGAACAATGGGGCTGTGTATATGGAGGTTGGTGGACCACTTTCAGCATCAAATAATCAATTAGTTGTTCTCTAGAGGGATGCCTCACCACAGATGCCTGAGGGGGGTGATGTATTTGACTATAATTTGCCTGAGGCCTGAGAGGCTGGCCCATCTGTCCATTACTCAAAGGCATCTAAGAAAAACATGAAGTATCTTAAAATGGCTAATAGTAATGTCCTATTACAAATATTTGGATTTTCTTTTGGGAGCATTACAAAAGCACTAAAGTTTTAACATTCCAAATTATACAATGCCAGATCACTTACTATTTTCTTCTAATTTAAAACCTTAAAAGAAAAAAAAAAGCCATTGTCTTAATTCTAAACTTGCTTAAGTGCTTGCTGATAGTCATTCTTTTAAAATGAAAGTCTTACTTTAAATTATTTGCTTCTTATAGATATACCTATCCTTCCTTACAATTACCAAATGTTAAAATGCCAAATAGAACACTGAAGTTTTAAGTTGTTAAGAAAGGATACTCTATTAGAAGGGTAAATCAAATCACATCTCATACTAAATCAAAACACACATACAAAAAATGCATTTAATATTTTTTACAGACAAAAAAATAATTCTGGTGCAATTTTTCCGGATTTGTATTTTTCCACATTTATTCCTTTCTTTTGATTTAGCTACGATTGTAATGGAAAACTGATTTATTCTGTATGTGTATGTATATCAGTATTTTTCAAACTCTAAATATTAATTTCACACAGAACATTAACCACAAAACTTAAAATACAGATATTCTACTTTATTTTTCACAAGCTGAACAAAAATCTTAAAATTATTTTGCTGTTTTAATGAGCTACCTTTAATACCTCAGTTTTTATAGATTGAACCTGAACTTTAGGCCTAAAATGACCTTTGTAGAAATGTAGCTAACAGCTTATTTTGTTAGTGTGAGGAAGCTGGCTGAAAAATAAGAGGCTACACTTATAAATGTTTGCATATAAACAGATTTTTGCAGCTGGGTGTGGTGGCTCACACATGTAATCACAGCTACTTGGAGGTAGGAGGATCTTGATCTGAGGCTGGCCCAGAGCAAAAGCAGGAGCTCCTATCTGAAAAACAAACTAAAAAAAGGGGGCTACAAGCATAGCTCAAGTGCCCTGAATTCAAACCCTAGTACTGAAAAAAATTTTTTTTTGTATAGATGGGAAGTTTAAAACTTCCTTGTTGGTTGTTAACAGAAAGATAAAAAGGAAATTATCAGAAAACTGTAAGGGAACTAGTTGAGCCCCACCTCCCTAAAATTATGGAGAACAGTCTGGCAAAGTTTCAAAACTGCACATTATTATTGTTGTGAACTTGTATCTTGCTAAAAGATACAAAGAAGTCTGGTTTTGGTGAAGAAAATTTGTAACTCTTAAAAAAAAAGTATACTTTTTTTTCTTTCTTTTTTTTGGCTGGAGGCATGGCTGGAGGCATGGCTCAAATGGTAGAGTGCCTGCCTAGGAAGCAAAGGCCCTGAGTTCAAATCCTAGTACTGTCCAGTTAGTACTGAAGTCTGGGAACTACATGGGTGTTTTATGATAGCATACAAGGATTATACTACGCTGTGACAAATCTTATAGTGGTGAGAGAAGGAAAATGAAATGCTGTATTACCCTTAACTTTTTTGTAAAAAAAAAACAAAAAAACCCACCTATGGTGGTTTATTACTTAATCGCTTGATTTAAAGCGACTGATCTGCACAGGAGTGATTAACCAGTTGTGCTGTTGCTTTATTACTTCTATACAACTCTGTTAATAGCCCTGGCTTTTCTCTGTTTTTACTCTTTATTCCTATGTGCAAATTCAGTATATTTCTCTTGAGAAAAATCTAGACAATATTTACTAATTACCACTGACTTATTTTGTGTGTGTGTGTGTGTGTGTGTGTGTGTGTGTGTGTGTGTGTTCTAACTCAGGGCCTCCCACATGCTAGACAAGCACTCTACCACTGAGTTATACTCACAGATCCCTGGCATATTCTTTTTTATTTGGGGGTTTAAGACTAGGTCTCTCTTTGTAGCTCAGCTAGCCCTGAACTCTCAACCCTCTTGCCTCAGCCTCCTGAATGCTTGGATTAGATATGTGCCATTTACACCTAGACTGATCTATTCCTAAGATTCCCTGCCACCTGGATATTTGGTCTTACTTAGGCCAGGGTTAAACATACACATGAAAGATACTAAACTATGATTAGCAGATGCCTCAGGAGATAAAAATAATAATGCGTAAAATAAACTCACTAACCTAAACTACAAAACTGGACGACAGTGCACAGTTAAAAGAAGAAGGGGTAAAATCAATAGGACTGAATGAACTAATACATATTAGATGGCTAGGACCTCCCCTCAAGAGCAATGCAACAGTTTAATGTTTTATACAATAAATGTGCTTCACAATTTTGTCTGGCTGTATTAGAGGCATGTAACTAGTTAAGAAAATGAGAAAGAATAGCTGAAGGGACCATAAAGAATTATCTATCTGGCACTGGGCACAAATAATCTATCTCTAAATGAGTACTACTTTTTTACTACAACATATTAAGAATATAACCATGATCTATTTTCCTACCTACAGAAGTCTTTCAAGGTGATTTCTAATTACACTTAAATAATTTTAAAATGTTTCTAGTAATAGTAAAAGATCCTAGAATGAAGAATTTAAGAAAAGTTTACTTTCAATTCTCCAAATGGGTTTATTATAACAGATACAAAAAAAATAATAGGTGGTACTACAGAAATCCAAACACAACAATAAAATGACTCTCCAGTGTGGAAAAGTCATGGAACAAACTGAGAACAAATACTATTTTGTATTTCTGAATTATTTTTTAAACAATCTTTACTAATCAAAGTGGGCAAGCCCTTATCAAAGTATTTTCAGTTAAAGGACTAATGAAATTTCTAGTTCAAAAGCAAACAACATGTAAGCTCCAAAATACGACTTCAAGTGTTTCCTGAGCACCTACTTTCATCAAGCTGTCTGGAAGAACATCTTTGTGACTAAGTGAAGCTGATGAGTAGTTCTGCTGTCCTGAAATGAATATATCATCTTGACAAGGATCTCCTGGACAGGATGTCTGGGGATGATTCAAATGCAGGGGAAATAAAAAGTAAACAAGTAGTATTCTTTAAGATGTGAAACCAAAATGATGATGACACTTTACAGAACATTAGAAAAAAATATTGCTAGGTAGCAGAAACAGGAAGACCCAAATCAGGTATTACATCTACCGCTGCCCTTAGTGAGCACCTTCCAAGTATGTGGCAAGACGGCTGTTCTTGCAAAGCGTGAGGAATGCACAGATACACACTGCCCATCTCTTTCTTTACAATGTATACATGAAGAAGACAAATTCTTCTATATGTTCTCTTTTCCTTTTTAGTTTTATTTATAGTTAACACCCAGCTGTAAGCATCTTTGAGCAATAAATGTAGTTATTAAAGTCAATGGTCTTAAAACAAAATTTTTTGAAAGTATTAAGAGTTTAAACTCAGGACCTCGCACTTGCTACAGAGGAGCTCTACCACTTGAGCCATGCCTCCACCCCCTTTTATGCTTTAGTTACTATTTTCTAGATAGGGCCTCATGCTTTTTGTCCAGGGCCAGCTTTGGACCACAATTCTCCCACCTACACTTCTTGTGGTAGGAATTACAGATGTACACCAGCCCTGGCTTGTTGAGATGGAGTCTCTCAAACGTTTTGCCTAAGGTGGCCTTGACCCTCAATCCTCCCAACCTTCACCTCCCAACTAGCTGGGATTATAGAAATAAGCCACCACACCCTGCCTTAATATTCTCAACTTTTAAGAGGAACTAATATATTCCTGTTGAATGTTTTTAAAATGATACAAAATTAACTCCTGTCCTTTTAACAGCATAGTACCATACAGGCTGTTTCTTTTTTTTTTGGGAGGGGGGGAGTACTGGGATTTGAACTTAAGGTCTCATGCTTGCTAGGCAGGGACTCTACCACTTGAGCTACTCCACCAGCCTCCCCGCTTTTTTTCTAAATTGAAATGATAAGTAGTACCAATAAATTTACAGTCTTATAAAACTTGCTATCTCTTAATTCTGTCACATTAACATTAGTTCAATATTTTAGATTTTTTTTTTGCTGGTACTGGGGTTTTGAACTCAGGGCTTTCTACTTGCCTTACAAGTGGTCTGCCACTTGAGCCATGCCTCCAGCCCAAGTTAAGTATTTTAAAGCACTGATTTGGAGAAATGTTTTAAAAATGAGCTAGCTCAGATCTTCATATGCCAAATAACATTCTTATATTACAGTTTATCTTGCTGATAGTTTTAAAGGAAAAAGTAACACTCAATATGTCATTATCTCTGAATATTTCTTAGGATAAATGTGTTAGAAAACAAGATATCTGTAGTTTTCACCTTAAGTTAGTTCTTAACACACCTAGATACAGTTTGGAAACAAAACAGATTGTGATTTTCAAAATAGTTTATGACTAGAAACAAAGAAATGTAATGTACATCATCATGTTAAAAAATAACCTGAAATCACTTCACGATGAGGTATTAACAGAAAATATATACATTTAAGAATAATATTAAAAAATGTATTTGCAACAGATCCATCAAGTGTAAGTAACTACTAGTTCACACATGGCTTGGCATTTTTGGATGCAGTTTGATCTAATTTTATGTATTTACACAGTGTATATACTTCATTTTCCTTCTCTCTTTTTTTTTTTTTTTTTGTGGCACTGGGGCTTGAACTCAGGGCCTTCACCTTGAGCCACTCCACCAGCCCTATTTTTGTGAAGGGATTTTCAATATAGGATCTCATGAACTATTTGCCTGGGCTGGCTTCAAACCAAGATCCTCCTGATCTCTGCCACCTGAGTAGCTAGGATTACAGGTGTGAGTCACTGATGCTCGGCTTCTCTCTTCTTGCAATGTGCTTTTACAATGTGTAATAATCAACTTAGCACACAAGTTGAACCCAAGCCTGAATGTACAACTATGCATTATCTACTCTTTAAAAGAACATATCACGAATGGGAAAGTAAAATCAACATACTTGAAGGCTCTGAATTAAAGGAAATAAGCACAAAATGTTATTATAAAAGAATTTGTAAAGAACAGTTGTTACAGATGACTATCAATGGCAAAGAT